GTCACAAATAGTTCAGTATTCTATATATAGTTATATATAATCACAAATAGTTTACTATTACAAATTTTCAGCGTATGAAATTTGTAATTCATTATATCAAATAAATAGTTAACTATATTAAAATAAAATTTACTATTTTTTTCTTTAAATAGTGAAATAGTCAACTATTTATGTTAACAGTATCTTAGGTGTGATATAGTTCACTTTATAATTTATATATTCAAACTTTCAAACAATAATTAATTAAAGAAAAACAATATGTCAAATTCAAGTTTATTTTTAGAAAAAAATATATTTATTTTTTAAATAAAAGACAAATTAGCATTAAATGTGTATTAAAGATTGACAACTTTAATTGAATTTAATAAAATGATAAATTAGTCAAATTTTATTTCTGTTTGCTAGTTACTAAATTTACAAACTACACATGTTATTTTATTAATTTACATTGTTAAACATGTTATTTCACTAATTCAATAATAATTTAATTTATATAAGTTAATAACTGATTTGTACCTACTCTGGAATGTCAGGCAATTATTATTATTTTTTTTTTTCATTTTTGCATACTTCAAAAACAAATCCTAGTTTTCTTTCAAATCCTAGCCGCAGTCGCTCAACAAAGTTCTGGTCCGTCGACCGCCTTCTTGTCCTTGTTTCTCTCCTGTTTTAAAGCTCTTAGTTTTTGTATTTTGCTCGGTAGATCTTCATTGAAATAACGCCAGTTCCATTGGTTTGTGTAGCTGGTTTATTGGCGATTTTTTTTCCTTTTTTGATAGAACTTTTTGTCTCCTTTCTTTTTGCCGTGTGAATGCTCTTTCTTTTTCTGATCTAGGTTAGATGTGTTTTTGTCAAAACATTGCTGGGAGTAAAGGATTATTATGGTGCTCTCCCTGTTTTGGGAGGCCTAGTTTGCTTTGTTTCTTTTGTTGAGTTTGTTGTTCTCTTTGAGTATTTTTTCCGTTGTGCTCTGGTATTGGCGCAAATATTCTCGATTGGAATGTGTCACTTTTGAGGATGGACCATAGGCCATTCGTGCTGGA